TAAAAGGAGAAACAAGCAGCACCAGCAGATATCAGGGGTCCCAGCAGCAGCAGCAGCAGCTACAAGGGGCCGCAGCCGCCGCAGCAGCAGCCGCAAGAAGACGCGCAGCAGCAACCAGGCTCCCCAGAATAGTGAGGAACAAGCAGCAGCAGCTACCAGAAACCCCAGCAGCAACAGCAGCAGCAACTTTAAATTTAAATATCAGTTAGACAATTGGAAATACAAATTAGACTCTTAAAATGCAACAAAAGCAAATAAATAAAAGCAAATAAGCAAAAGAAGAGGAAGGCAGCAGCAGCAGAAGCTGCGGAAAGTAGAAAAGTGAGCAGCTGCATGCTTCAAATTGTCTTCTAAAATGAACAATCAAACGATTAATTTATTTTAATTAAATAAAAAATAACAATATTTAAAAAGACTTAAAAATGTTTAAAAGGAAAAAGAAAACTCACTTGCACGTCGCCTATGTTCCGCTGAATTTCCATCAAGTCGCACACTGAGCCCTTTTCAAGGCTTTGCACTTCCTGAACACAAACCCTAAACCCTAAACCCTAAACCCTAAACCCTAAACTCTAAACCCTAAACCCTAAATCCTACGCTTCTGCACTGCGGGGGCGGCGCCAAGCTCGTTCTCTCGCTGTCTGAGACGCTTCGGCTTTGGGGGCAGCAGCTGACCCGCAGCCGCACTTTAGGGTTTAGGGTTTAGGGTTGCTTCACCTCGATAAACGACTGATACCGCTGCAGCAGCTTCAGCATATCTCCCCCTGCAGCATCTGGGGCCACTCTTTCTACTAAGGGCAGCGCCAGGCCTTCCGCTGTACGTACACCGCAGCAAACGGCGCGCAGGCAAGCTGCCCCCTACAGCAGCAGCAGCAGCAGCATCTGCTACAGCAGCAGCAGCAACTGCTAGAGCAGCAGCAACAGGAGCAACGCAGCAGGAAAACTAGTCCCCACAGCTTCGTGGTGAGTCCTCTTGGTCGCTGTCGCCAATCGCGAAAACAGAGGAAGCTACTCCTCCCTGCAGCAGCAGCAGCAGCAGCAGCAAAGCAGCAGCAGCAACAGCAGCAGAAACACACGGCTGCCTGAAAGCGCGCTGCAGAAAGGTTGAGAATGGTGAGCACAAACGAAGTCGCAGCATGCAACGGGATGGGACTAGCAGCAGCAGCAGCAGCAGCAGCAAAGACACACTTGTTGTCGGTGAGGGAATCCGCAAACGTCTACAGCGCTTCTGGCACCTTCAAAAGCCTCAACGTGGTGGTTTTGGTGCTGCTGCTGCACAGCTGGCGTGTCTGCTGCTGCTGCTGCAGTTTCTTGGTCCGACGAGAGTGCTGTGTCGCTTTGCTGCTGCGCCCCCAGCGCGCCGCCGTCCTGCTGCTGCTGCTGCTGCTGCTTCGACAGGTTTTGTTTCAAAGCAAGACCCTTCAAAGAACAACTAATTGATGCCAACTTCAGCGAAGAAGACCGCCGGGCTTGCTGCAGCTTCTGGGACAGCAGCGCCTGCAGCGCCTCGCCGCGCGACACCCCCGGGGAGGATCCATCAGCAGCAGCAGCAGCAGCAGCTGCTGCTGCTGCTGCTGCTGGTGAGGACTGGTCAGTCCCTGCGTCTGTGCTGCTGCTGGCGCTGGGACTATCCCCTGCCCTGAACGCTTGCGCGCCAGAAAGCCCCGCTGACCCTGCTGCTGCGTCTGCCGCTGCATCTGCTGCTGCTGCTGCTGCTGCTGCTTCTGCTGCACCTGCTGCTGCTTCTACTGGCATTTTAAGAGTGTCAGGGCCTCCAGAAGATCCTCGACTAAGCAAAGAGGAAAGAAGACTTGATGCTGCAGTCATGGTGCTGGCCACAGAGCTGGCTCGCCTGAAGTCTTGCTGCTGCTGCTCCTGCTCATGCTCCTGCTGCAGTTGCTTTGGATCCTGCTGCTGCTGCTGCTCGGTTGGCTGGCCGTCAGGGCCTAAAGCGGGCTCCGGAACTTTCCCAGAGGGCGACCCTGCTGCAGCTGCTGCTGCTGTTGCTGCTGCACCTGCTGCAGTGTGCAGCACCCCACGGAGGCTGCTACCAAAATCTTTAGACACGCCCTTTGTGGCCTGCAGGGCAGCGTGTCTGAGCAGCAGCAGCAGCAGCAGCAACAGCAGCAACAGCAGCAGCAAGTGGCGACAGCTCTAAAGTATAAACAAAAGCAGTCTTTCCCAGCAGCTGTGCGGCCGGCAGCGGCACAGCAGCAGCAGCAACAGCGGCAAAAACAGCAGCAGCAGCAACAGCAGCAACAGCAGCAACACGAGCAGCAGCAGCAAACGTAGGTTGGCAGCCCTACAGTGTGCTGCCGATCTGCTGCGTGTGGCCTGCCGAGGAGGCGACAAGCTTTGCTGCTGTCTCCCTGGCCCTGTCTTTCCAGTTCTGCAGCGCTGCTGCTGCTGCTGCTGCTGCTGAGCTGCCCGAGCCCTTTGCCTGCGAGAAGCCGTTGTCTTCTGTGAGGAGGCGCTCACACAGCTGCTGCGCCTCCATTGCCCTGCAAAGGCCTGCAGGAGCAGCAGCAGCAGCAGCAGCAACAACAGCAACGCAGGCTTTCTCCGCAGCAAAGAAGAGACAAGACCCCTCATTCATATGCACAGAAGCAGCAAATGACAGGCACTCACTGCAGGGGAAACAGCTGCAGGCACCTGCTGCTGAAGCAGCAGTGGCAGCAGCAGCAAAAGAGGTTGCTGCTGCTGCTGGAAAGCAGCAGTGGCGTCGCAGCAAGCCTTACCTTCCCAGCCTTCGCTGAGAACGCTGACCCGCGGGAAAAACTGCTGCAGCAGCAGTCCAGATAGCACAGCAGCAGGGTCACCTTCTGACTCTGCTGCTGCTTCTGCTGCTGCTGCTGCTGCTGCTGCTGGCGAGCTGTAGCCGCTGCTGGGTTCTGCTGCGCTGCCCAGCAGGCAGATGGCCTTCCCCCTGACGATTTCGCAGCAAAGGAGAAGGCCTTCGAGCTCCTGCGCCTCTCTATCGTCCTGCTGCCGCTGCTGCCGCTGCTGCTGCTGCTGCTGCTGCTTCTTGCTGTAGGACAGCAGCATGTCCCCGCTCACTGGCATGGCCCCACGGATGCGGCGGCTTTGTGCTGCATGCACAGCTTCGAAGGTGCGGCAGTCGAGCAGCACAAACTCTGTTTCTGCCAGCAGCAGCACGGCAGTGGCTTCCAGCAGCAGCAGCTGCTGCTGCTGCTGCTGCTGTTGC